TTCCCTCCCCACTCCAGGGGAAGGATTCTGTAAAATCCCAATTCCCTCCCCACTCCAGGGAAAGGATATTGCAGAATCCCCTTTCCCTCCCCACTCCAGGGGAAGGATTCTGTAAAATCCCAATTCCCTCCCCACTCCAGGGAAAGGATATTGCAGAATCCCCTTTCCCTCCCCACTCCAGGGGAAGGATTCTGTAAAATCCCAATTCCCTCCCCACTCCAGGGAAAGGATATTGCAGAATCCCCTTTCCCTCCCCACTCCAGGGGAAGGATTCTGTAAAATCCCCATTCCCTCCTCACTCCAGGGAAAGGATATTGCAGAATCCCCATTCCCTCCTCCCTCCAGGGAAAGGATATTGCAGAATCCCCTTTCCCTCCCCACTCCAGGGGAAGGATTCTGTAAAATCCCCATTCCCTCCTCACTCCAGGGAAAGGATATTGCAGAATCCCCATTCCCTCCTCCCTCCAGGGAAAGGATATTGCAGAATCCCCTTTCCCTCCCCACTCCAGGGGAAGGATACTGCAAAATCCCCATTCCCTCTACTCAAAATTTCTGCTACCGGTTCTCCAGAACCTGTCCGAACCTGCTGAATTTCACCCCTGGGTAAGATGCCTTATTCCTTGGTTCTGAGGCCTGGCGAGACCCTTTCTAACCCAAGGGCATTTTCTCCCAAGATGCCTGGCGCTTGAGAGGCTGGCCCTCCATGACCAAGGAAGACCACAAATACCGAAAGTAAATGTCTTTATTAAAACAAGAGAGAGAAAGAACACGAGTATTTACACCACTCCTTCTAGGGCTGCGTCACATATTTGGGGCAGGGATTTGTCCTACACGCAGAAGTGTCTTCCGTGGCCAAAGTTTGCGTATCTGGGCACGCAGCTCTTCTTCGCACAGGAGAAAAGGAAGCCGTTTCGTTTGGGGCAGAAGCAGGTAGGACCCAAAAATAAAGGGGGGGGGGGAGAAGGGCATTGAGGAGGCAGACAGAAGGGAAGACGATGGGGGAGGATTGGAGGGATGGATAGAGGAGAAAAGCTGCTGAGAAGATGGGTAAGACGTTCCCAAACCCCCAACGACGACTAAAACAATGTAATTTTTTCCCCCTTTTCCGTCGTCCCACGCAACTCGCCCTTCTCAGTGGCTCAAAGTCTGTGGCGGCAGCTGGAGGCTCCCCGAGGCTCATCCCGTGATCTGGGGCAGGGCTTTCTTCAAAAGAGAGGTGACGTAGCTCCCCATTTCTTCATCCTGCACAGAGAGACCGGATTCAGAGTTTCAGTTCAGTCCTCGGGGTTACGACCATCGCTGAGCCCAACCATTTCTTTTCATTTTTTAAAATTTTTTTTTGTTACCTTCATTCTCTTCTATATAGTTACAGGTGTACATCCACCTAGTCACTGTTCTTCTTTGATCACTTTTACAGATTTGTTTTTCCATAGAAAAAGTTGAAATGTACCCTCCCTCTCCCCATCGTCTCCTCCTCTCGTAAAAATTAAGATTTAAAACTTTACCTGGTACGTCCAGGAGACCAGCAAAAGTTTGGTAGCGGGGTCCTCGGACTGCACCGTAACCTGGATCAAGATGGACTCCACCATGATGGAGGTGTCGGAGAGATGCTGGACGGAATAATCCTTCAAGGCACTGGGGAGAAAAACGTCAACCAGCTGAATCCCCCTCCCTACCTTTTCACAAGGCCTCAAAAGACTAGGCTTCACTTCTCACCATCTTTTGATTGCAATCAATTCTTGGATAAGCTCCTCTCCCCAGACAGTTTAATGATCCTCATCATCCCTTGCGGGGTAGAGTCTGGGCAACTGAATGGAGCTATTAGAATTTTTACTGGCTGGATGCCTTTCTTGTCACCAGAGCAGAGCTTTTTTCCCCCCAGCAGATACATTCTCATTGTGCCCAGAGAGAGAAAATATCTGCCTCTAGCTAGGATCGAACTCACAGCCTCCCGATTGTGAGGTGAAAGCTCCACCTCTAGGCCACCACACCACTCCCCAGACAATGCCACGAGACCTGCTTTAATCAAATCCCGCTTGTCTCAAATTTTTAAGTGCATTGAACGCGACATGATATTGAAGTGGGTTTCAGTGGAGGTACCTGTCCACGTGAGTTTTCTCTTTCCAACCAAGCCAAATTTCTAGTCCTCAAGGTGGAGCAGATTGCAGCTCCAACCAATCCCAGTCCCTACCCCGAGCGCTCACCTTTTCAGGTGGTTGTAAACGTGCAGGCCGGTCTCGTGCTCCTTGCGGGGGTCTTGAAAGTGGATCCGGCAGGTGAAGCGCAGCTGATGCTCCCCCAGCCCCAACTCCTTCAGGGCTTGCTCAGACGAAACCAAGCGGAAGCTCTGTCCGTAAGCAAAAGAGCAAAGAAAAACACAATTGCAATTGACGTGCGGCAGTCTCAGGGGCCAACTGGAACTCTCCTCTCCTGAGGAAATTAAGGGTCGGCAACCACGAACTGCTCCACCCACAGACTTCCTTCTCTGTGAAATCCCTTTCACCCAGACCAGGGGTCGGCAACCTTAAAACACTCAAAGAGCCACAAAAGTCCTAACCGGAAGCCCCCCCCCCCCTTCAATTCTGGAGCCGTCTGGAAATCCGGTTCCCCCCACCATAGAGTCTCCTCCTAGTTCTGCATCCTTTTTCCTCTACCTGTCCTA